GTACAGAACTACATTCCATAGTAAGTTCTTTTTGCATTTGTAGCTCTACTTTATTTTGCAAGAAATGTTTGGGCAAGGATTATATTATAGTGTGTATGATTCAGTTGCTCTGTCCATCAAATTATTTTCAAATTTAGTGGTGTAAGTTACATTAATGATGTTGGCCAATTTAGATTAGACACAAAAACAAAAAAAACAAAAAAATATTAAAAGCATGAAATAAAAATTACAAAAAAAGACACATTCTTATCATAAAGGACATAATTAAAGTATATTACCTAGTATATTAATGTTTGTTTTAAAGATACATGTAAGAGGTTTCTATGGAATATTAAGTTTTACTTTTAAAGGGAATATACAACATTTGCAATCATAAAAAAAACCTACCAATTGTTATGAAATACCTTGCTGGACTGTTAGTGAATGACAGTCTAAAGCATCCTGCAAAATCATGGCACCTGGTGTGCTGACATTTTTAAGAAAAGTGGTGTTTTTGAATCAATTTCCAATGCTGGTCGGCCGACCAGCGTTGGAAAAAACTGGCTTTTTTTCATATACTGCCTCCAGTTTACCATAATTATTTAGTTAGTCTGAATTGTGTTTGCAATCGATTACTATAAATTGCTCCATTAACATGATTGGGTTTTTTGGTTTTTCCAACATCTACAAACACAAAACTTCAAACAGGTCAGTGAACCAATATTTGCTATAAAACACTTGCCCCCCTCCCCCCAATCCATCCATTTCTGAAAATTACAGCAAACAAACAAATGTATATTCCCTTTAAGTTGTGAAGATTAAGCTTTACATACCAGAAAAGCAAGTATACAAAATTGTGCTACAAAGGACGATATAGGCACTTGCTCTCGTGCAGTCATTTTACAATGTATGACACGTAATAAAATGTAGATGCGTATTATAATGCACAATCATATTTACAATAATTAACCAATGGATCAATATGATACTGTTGTGTAGATGGTTAATTTTTCATTTGAATGTATATGATTTAAAATGTTTTTTGCAATTGGATTCTTAAAATGTCACATGTGGCCTTGCCTGATGCAGTTTGATGAAAGTTTTGTTTGCTTTGGATTTGAGTTGAATTTGGTCAGTGTGGCTGTTTCTGTATTGACCCCCAAAAAGATTTGATCAAAGATCCATCAATTGTTGTGTTAACTTGACTTTATCATCACTTGTCAGCTTGACACATTCTGCAATCACTTTTTCTAATATGGCTTGTAGAGCAGACCAAGTTTGATATTATGAACGAATGTTTTAAAATATTTAAGAGGGAAGGATATATTATTAACCAGGCAGCTTCCCTTCTTTGCCTATTCTGTTCTGTCCTTCCTTGTACTCTAGAAGAGACGCTTCGCACTTCATACAAAACTGTACATGTACAATGTACTTCTCTATTACCCTGCATAAAATGTAACTTTTTTTCTATCTGGTCTCTACAAATTTCTTTTAATTGACTATCTATATCTCAAAAAGTGAAAGTCCTCCTTCTCTTACTAATAATAGGCCTAGGCATATATCCTTCCTTATTCCAAGAAACTATCTATGTGTGGTCAGTTCTAGAATTCAATTGTGGTCAGATCAGTTCTGGAATCTACCACTTCCTGAGGATTTAATTTGTATTACTTTCCCACACTGGCTAGCTCCTCCTAGTAGCCACAACCTGTTTGGTCACATAGTTGTGGTTAATTGTAATAATTGATACATGACACATTCAGAGATAAATGCTTGATGTATGAATTAATAAGTGAATGCACACGCCCACACAAACACTCAAAAGCCTAGCTGCCTGGTTTGCAATGTGCAACCTATGAACATACACAGAAAGGCTGCTTTAATAGTATAGAATTGAAGCCTGAGTAACGTAACCTTAGTACAAAAATAGTGTTTGAACTTAGTAGTAGTACGCCCATATGGTGCAAATTTTGAACTCGGATTATTGACTGTAGTAATTACATTTTTTTGTTTTAGATTGGTTGTGGTAATTAAATTTGTTTTTAATGAAACCACATAAACGTTGGTGTTTTGTGATACATTAAAGTGTATCACTCTTATGATTAGAGTATTAATTGATTTGTATAAAAATTTTCATCCACGTTTGTGGTAGGATACATACATGTAGATGCACCATAGATGAAAACAGCCTGTGAACAAAACTAATCGCACTTTGTTAAAAGGTTTGAAAAATAGAAAATTACAGTATTTTTATGTATGCACATTCGTTGGCATATGGGCATGATTTGCCAAGTCATCGAGGTAAACACTAATACATGTACATGTATATCAGCAATTTTTTTAACAAAATTAACTTCCTTTTTGTTTTCAAATCATAATTTAAGAGGGCTCAAGAAACAGTGGAATATATTAACTGCAGTGTAAAAGATCATAAATTGCTTTTAAGTTTTTGTGTGGGTAACCCCAGTAAAATCTGCAATTATATTGTAGTTTTTAGGTTATACTCATTTCATATGAACAAAACCCTAGAATTTTTGTTTCATGTTATGGAATTTTATTCAACAATTGTCGTCTTTGTAAGAGGCTCAGAATAAAAAAAAACCTTAAACAAGCTATGCCTTGCTGCTCATATTTGAAGTTGAATGTTTTGAAATAAAGAGATAACAATATACATGCACCAAAGTGATTCTCCCGTGTGGCTTTTTTTATGGCTTTGTTTTTATAAAAATCAGTAAAATAAAAATTAACAGCTTGTTGTAAGGTCTATGGTACAAATGTAGCGAGTCTGCTGTCAATAACCTCCAGCTTAGTACCATGAGTGGACCTAGCAGTGATCAGGTTTAGGACTTTTTGAGTCTGATTCATAAATTATGATGAGCACTGTTAAAGCAATTATAATTTCTGAATACATGCAAGGTGGTTTCTATCCGTTAAAATGTCTATTTCGCCTTGGATAAGGCTGTAGTATGGACAAGAGAGATACACGTTTATTATTAACTGTGATGTAAATACAGCAAATACAAAAACCTGTGGCAGGGATGCAGAACCAAAGAGAAATGGAAGGCCGCAGGAAATGAGCTGTTGTCAGCTCAAGATGACTGTACGGATTATAAATTACTTGGCCTTGGCTTACTCTCTACTTAAAGAGCTTTACCTCATTCAACATGTTTAAAAACAACTATTATCCCCATTTTACGAGATTCACCTTCAAATATATATTTACTTCTGAAGTGTTTTGGCCACCCCCCCCCCCCCCCAGCCAGATTTATAAGGAGCACTGCTGCTAAATCCACACCAAATTCAATTTAATTCAGAGTTAATGCGCACCAAGATAATGAAACATCCTACTATACAAATTCAGCAGTATCCCTCGAAAGTGTTTTTTTTCCCCCCTTTTTCTCATGGTGTACTGGTGAAGCATATGTGAAAATCAGCTGATCCTAGGATAAGTGCACAAGTATGCACAGCTGATCTGTGTGATTCTTAAAAGGTACAGGGGAGGACTGTTCTTAGTGGCCATATCCATACAAGATGTGTACAGGAGAGGACTGTTCTTAGTAGCCATATCCATACAAGATGTGTACAGGAGAGGACTGTTCTTAGTAGCCATATCCATACAAGATGTGTACAGGAGAGGACTGTTCTTAGTAGCCATATCCATACAAGAGGACTGTTCTTAGTAGCCATATCCATACAAGATGTGTCCTTTCAGTCTCAGTGAGTGCACAATGTCCAATGCTGTGATCGTCGTCTTGCCTTTATATTCCGAGTGAATCACTGCATGGTGTACGACCTCCTCCAGCCAGTGTCTCAGCCCTTCTCTTGCCTCATGGTACACCAGGCCTGAGATCCGTCCAACCCCTCCCCGACGAGCCAAGCGGCGGATGGCAGGGCAGCCAAGAGGCAGGGGAATGAATATCAGCTTACGATGACGCTTGATGCCCCCTTTGCCTATACCTTTTGCACCCTTGCCGAGCCCACTCATTGCCTTCTATTCTCTGTACAAAATGTATCTCTCTTTCTCTATAGGTATCTTTGCATTCAATTCAGTTGTTTCAGTTGTTGGCAGATGAAAGAGATACATGTGTAAATGCCTTAGGCTCTCCAAAATAACAAACAGAAAAACGGAGCTTAAATGTTGTCAACTGTGCAGAGGTTTACAAGCATTCTTGATCCTATGGTTCCAAACTTAAACAGAACCGCAACAAGTCTAGGGTTGTTTACCAATTCATCCACAATACATTTGCAGCTGCAGAATTTCACTGGTACATTTCCAGCACAGTAGTTGCATTTGCCAACGGTTTGAAAAGGCCTTGAGTCTTGCGTAAAGCAATTGGCAATAACATGCTATTTATAGCTGTATCCAAACATCCCTTACATCCGTCACTGATTGTGCAACAATACACCTGCCAACACGTACATGTCCGTATCTATGTACTCAGTGCATATCGCCTATACACAACAGGTTAAAGGTCACCACTTTGATGATAGTTTATGATGATGTATGGTTTATGATGAAAAATGCACACACACTGTAGTAGAACTTTCCAAATAACGATTAATTAGAACAATTCCCACTGTTTGAACAGTCACAGACAGTCAAAAATTTCACCCACTTCCCCTGCCATGCCTTTTACACAGGCTAGACACCAACAATCAGATCATATTTCAAGCAAATTCAGTCAACAGACAAAGTAGGCAACTGGGGTTGAAAATAATTCAAGGACAAAGTGCAAAAGGAAACTGCAGGTGACTAAGTACAGCTTTTGTACGCAAGGCTAGTATCCTGTCTGCACTAATTCATCAACATGTACAGACCTCCAGCACAACAATGATTGGAATTGTGTGACCACACAAAGGTTGACACATCAAGTTGTACCATTTGCAGGTGAATAAATTGACTCTATGTGAATGTGGAGAAATGTCAACAACTAAAGAACTGAAATGTAAAAAAAAAACTGGTTTCAAATCAAAGAAGATGAGTGAAACAAAAGAAACCAAAATAAAAGGAAAATCATGATCAGTTTTGGACTTACTACTTGTCTTTCCTCATTTATTACCAAATGGTTTAAATAAAAACCCAAAACAAAACTTTTAAATATTTACATTAACACTGTGTGCTCTACACAGTTGAAAAAAATCATCAACTCAAGGAGAGAAAGGAGTAACAAAGTTGGGCCAGACTCGGCCCTGATAGAAAACTGTGCTGCATAACTAACGGACATCTACAAAACACCCAGCAACTCTTATGACTTCTGTGTACATATATTTACATAAACAATTACCGGTAATTTCCAAGCGTGATTCAATGCATTCCACATTTATACAACCTGGTTTTTGCATGACAGATACCTAAAGGACAAATCTGACTGGCATGCCACAAAGGACCAAGTGAACTGGAATACAATAATCCTACACTTCTAAGGCTAATAGAATTTTATGTCTAATGATGTATTTACATATATGTGAGTTTACCTATTTTCATATCGGACAAGTGCAATAGCATATTGTGTTCACACGACCACTGTGCTGTACAGTTTCAACAATGTTATTTTTCCCATCAATAGAATTGTACAATGGATTAAAGGCAGAGAGAATCATTTGTAATTTGTGCAGTCTTTTTCCTTTGAAGCAACAAAAAGCTCAAAATCTTAAGAAAAGGGTGCTGAACAACCTGACAAAGTTTTAGCTCTGTGAATGCTGTATATTCCCGAGGAAGCAACATTCTGGGATCTCGATTTTAATTCAAAAGTTGCCGAGCCATATTTTCAACTGCGCCCGTATTATCAGCATCCATTCTCAAACGGCCAATTGCAGCTATGTGATGTCACATACTGAACTGTGTCAATGCTTGTGCACACCCATTCACCCAATTTCAAACCAACTGCTAATTTCCAAAAATGTGTCACTTGACACATCTTTGGAAATGACCTTTTTAATGTTTTCTGTAAAATGACAGCATGCCAGAAGGAATAATTTCACAGAGAGTTTTAAAGTGTCATTGCATCTTTAAACCAAGTAAGCTTTTTAATAAGTAAGTATTTTGGTTGGTCATGTTTTGGATAGCTGCAGTCCACTCTAGCTTTAAGATATGGAAGTTGGGTGTAATATGGTGTAGGTTGCTCAGTTAAAGTGGCTGGAATCTGCCTGGACAGCATCTTTCACTTCAACCACATGAACGGCCTTAAGCTCCGGTATTAAAAGGTGACACATGATTACAATGGAAAAAGAATAGAAAATGAGCTTCACACAAGAACTGACCTTCCGAACTCGTCGAAATGCAATTAAGTGTATAAACCATGCTGGAAAAACAATTCTGGCAAACAAAAGAAAATTCGGCAAGTCCATGTGAATTATCTGCCCACCTGGTGCAGTATTCCAAGAAGAATATTTCCTGTCTATTGTATGGCTGGGGATTGTGTCCTCAAGAGCAGGTGACAGGTTGCTGCTGCTGCTGCTGCTGCTGTTGCTCAGTCAGTGGTGGCTGTTGAGCCGCCAGCTTGCGGGGGTTAATAGAAACCGTCTTAGAGCAGTTGTGTGTCTTGTAGATGCCTACCAGACGATCGGCCAACTCAAACATGTTGTTACGCAGCGAGATGACAATGAACTGCGCATTCTTGGTTCGCTCCTGAGTGAACAATCAAAGAAAAAAATGAAGAGTTTCCACACATCTTGAGATTCATACACTAGCATAAGGAAACAAATGTTTATTTCATGACTTATTTTACTTTGAATGTGCACAAACCCATGAAGTCTTCGCGTGAACGTCAGGCATCATAGTCAATGTGTTCAAATGTCAATCCAAGTGGTCTCCCCCAACTCTCCCTTCGCTACCGTTGCAGGGGGTACTTTTGCACGGAGCCCATAGCAATGCCAGAAACACACACGCATAGAGTGCATACCTTAATGTAGTGTCCTACAATGGAGACATTCTTGAAGTCTAAGGCAGCATCAATCTCATCCATGACATAGAGTGGGTTAGGCTTGAACTGATGCAAGGCAAAGACAAGAGACAAGGAGCTCAGTGTCTTCTCACCGCCAGACAGGTTGCAAATATTCTTCCAGCTCTTCTTGGGTGGGCGAACACTAGTTAAAAAAAAAAGAGAGAGAGAGACGCACATCAGCTTGTCATATAGACACAAAGTGAAAAGGTTCGGGTGAAAAATACTGGAAATGGGTCTGATGTGCTAACATAAGTTCATCCATTAGCATTAAATTAAAGAAAAATGAGTCCACGAAGAATGAATCCACAAAGTCCAAAATCCAAACTATGGATGACCATTTCACCATGATTTTCCATCACATTTTGCACTGAAAACCCCATGTGCTAGGTCCTCCTTGGCTGAGAAAACCTCATGTGCTAGGTCCTCCTTGTCTGAGCAGTCGTTAAACCTCTGCACATGACGGACAAAACTCATGGAACTCAGTTACTAACCTGAAGACAATTCCTTCAGAGAATGGATCCAGACTGTCTACTAGCTCCAGCTCAGCGTCTCCACCCAGCGTGATCATCTGATACATCTCCTTCAGGTATTCATTGATGGAGCCAAAGCCTCGCATGAACATGTCAAGACGCTGCTTGCGCATGTCTTCCAAGGAGCGACGCTGGGCATTACGAGACTCAGTCAGGGCATCGTATTCTGCTACGCGAGCTAGGTAGGCTTCCTCCTGAGAGAACCAATGCAGGTGACAACAAAAGATTTTATTATAGTGCTTCAAATGTATGATAATATGTCAATACAGCTCGCCACGCAAACTTGGGCAAACACCAAAACCTACATTGTGCACTGATAAAAAGTTGGCATTTGGTTAAGGTTTAGAAACTAAATCAAGGTTTTCTTCACTGCTTCTTTCGAAGTGGTAGGTAAGAGGGCAGTAGGGCCTTGCATTGTGCTTGAGTATTGGCAATCTTGTCAGGATATCCCTAAGTAAGCGTTATGGTGCCCTCTATTGGATTGTGGCGGACCTTTTTCTTGTACTGTTGTATAGCAGCCAGGTTGGGGCTCATCTTGGCTAGCTGTTCCTCACAGACTGTGATCTCATACTGGACTTCCTCTGTATCAATACCGGCCAACTGTTCCTCACTCAGCTCCTCGAGAGATTCAGAGGTCTCTCCGACCAGAGCATGCAGCTCCAGCTTCCCGAGCTATGGATAAAATCAGGAAAAAACAACATTGGAAATGTTAGCAGCAGACAACAGTTGTGCAATCTCCACTAGCCCACCCAGCTTCCCAGTGAACCACAATAACAAGCAAAGCAATTTTGCTGTATGTCATCCAAACCTTAGACCCTTTACCTCTTTCTTCCAGTGTTTGCCTTTCTGTTGGTTCTCTTTGACCAGAGAGTCGTATTTCTCCAGCTCATGTTTGACCTCTACCTGTCTCTTCTTGATCTCAGACTCTTGCTGCTGAAGTTTCTCAAGCTCAACTGCCCAAAGATAGAGAGAAAAAAGGATACAATAAATTCAAGCAATCAACACCTGATAGTAATTTCTGCAGATTGTAGGTTTGAGTCCAGTCTGAGAAGGCCAGTATTCTTGAGCACTAATTGCTTCTTACCATCCTCTGTACCTTCCAAAGCCCAAGTTGGAAAATGGCTACTGATGACTGCCATTTGGGATTTTGCCACAGATTAGCAATGAAAGTATCAATGATTTTTATATTTGATGTGACTAAAAAAGCTGACAGACCTTTGCTCTTTTCCAGTTGGCCCTCCATGTCCTTCATTTGCATCTCCGCCTCTCTGAACGCCTCCAAAACCTGCATATGCAGTAAACAAGGTGACAGGTTGATACAACTGTAAAGGTATTTTGGATTTAATATACATTGACCAAAAAACTCCTAAAATCATGTTGCTGTGTTTTTCACAATGTCCACTCAAATACAACAATCCAAAGAAGCACATAAAATCCAATTTGACTTTGCTTGTAATAAAGCATTATTGCTTTTGTCGGTGTCAAAACTATTTTTCATTCTGACAGCTACTAGATATGCATATGGGCAAATCAATGGGACTATATTGCCTCTATCATACAAAAGAAACACAGAATATGACTAGGTGCCAGAGTCAAGGACTGCCTTCTTCCATAGTTTCTGTAAGATCATATTTCATACAGCTTGGTGCATTCTCAAGATCTGAAGGTGGCCATATTTTCACAAATGGTTCTGTAGGGATGAAAGTATTCTGAGTATTGTTATTTTAATATCTCTCTAGTGAGTTATCGCAGGTAGTACGCACTATTAAGAAACAGAAACATTTTTGGACTGTAAGTCTCACCCTTGTAGCATCATCTTCAAGTCGCTTAAATTCCACCTCAATCTTCTGCATTGTCTCAGCGTTCTCCTTCTCTTCCTTTTCCATGTTCTCCACACTCTCCTCTGCACGCTTGATGTTCCTGAGATGAAGACAAAATTACAACCATGTCTAAAACAGATGGGTAAGGACCATTTACATCTTTGCAGCTACTAGTTGTTAGAAATGTTTGCTAAAAATCTTTCTGAATCTGTAAAATCAAGTAACATGCAAGGCGAAAAATGAGACTTGTAGGTTTACATGATGGACATGAATAAAGTATGGAAGGTTTGTGGAAACACCATATGAATTTTATCTCTTCTGAGTTGTGTGGTTCTGAGAAGACCTAGTTGTTTTAACTTGATGTTTTGAACAGTGTGCTCTGTTTATCATCTGGAGATGCATTTGCAAATTTTATTCAATGCATTTCAAATCTCACAGTTGCATCATGTTTGAACCGACCTTAAGTAAGCATTTCTCTGTCCAGGCTGAGCATTATGCTAGCAAATTCAATACAGACAGACACAACAAGAATGACCCAAGTGTCACCTACCTTTTAGCATTCTTGATGGCCACCTTGGCCTTGGTGATGCCTGTGGAAGTTTCATCAATTTCCTTAGTCACCTTATCCAGCTTAGCCTGCTGAGATTTCATCTTAGTGCTTCCTATCTCCATGATTCTATCGTGTAAGACCTTGACTTCTCCCTCAACCTTGGCTGCAGCATCAGCCACTTTGTTGTATTCTGAAAGGGAAAGTGGAACAATTGTCATTGATCAGACAGGAGTTTTGAGGGAAAGAGTTACATATCTGGACATCACTTGACACCCTGTGCACAAACCCTATGCAACTGGTCTGAAAAATTCCAAGTGCCTTCTCATAAAATGCTTCAATATTTTCCCTGCTAAATTTGACTTTTTATGACATGTTATCGCTTTCTGATGACTGATAGGTCACTGCAGGGAAATATTAGTGATGTCCATTTATGGAATTCTTCCCATTATGAGAACAAATGGTCTAATTTCTTTAGAAGTCTGTTCATTTGCGCAGGACATGAAAGAAAAGGAGATTGGTATGGGCGACTTACTGTGTCATATGTTAGACACATCCACAATTTAAATAGCAGAGGTATATCCATATATGGAAGTTTCCGCAGCGCATGCACTTATTAATTTTAAACAGTGCACCAAACTGAATAATAGATTAATATCAATATCATTTTGCACATTCCAACAACCATTTTTATGTGCACTTATATATAAAGTTGTTTTCAAGAGTTGTTCCCCATTCATTCATTCATATTTGTCATACCAGTTCACAGCTAAAAGCTGAATTGCATAGTTATAATATAAAAATCACAAAACTACACACATAAAATATTAAGTTTAATGGGAAGACATTCACAAGCTCACTAGTGGAGACATCTCATCACTTTGAATTACTGAGCTTGTTGGTCAGTCTGGGTTGGAAATAGTAGGTACTGTACTGTAAATCAAGGACTTTACTGATCAAACACAGCATGGCCTACCCTTGGTGTACTTGGCAGCATTCTTCTCCAGTGCAGTCATGTCAACATCCTTGCCTGAGTTCTTATACACTGTCTCTAGTTCCTTGATCTGGTCTCGTAATGTCACCTCCTGCTCAGCCTTGGCCTAAAATATAATTGAGAAAAAGACAATCTTGATGCAATCCAATTTTGAGAACAAGTTTCATCTATGGCCAAGTTCGCGCAAGGACTATAGTTGACCAATGGTTAACTAACATTTGCCCGAACACTGTCTAGTCAACGGTGGTTGACTACGCTAGTCGACTATTTGGAACCAGCCTACTGGGGTTGGTTGCTTCGCTGGTAACCAATATCCGCGCGCATTCATAACGCTAGCAGGGAGCCAGGATCCAGAAGATTTGCGATGACATTTTGACCAGCGTTTGACTAGAGACGTTCGCACGTTGCTATCAGTGCGCAGGCGTAAGGTACGTCACAAATCAACCACTATTTGACTAATGGTCCTTGCCCGAACTTCGCCAAGTTTGATCCATCAAGTATCTTGCAAAATTCATTGCAACAGAACATTCTCAACGACTAAATTTTGAATTTAATTTCAGTTTCTTGGGCTGTACTTCCTATAATTGAAACAAAGGATTAAAAGCACACTAAACAGCAAAGCATTACCTTTATATCCATATTGTGTTTCTTGAGAGTCAGTTTGGTTTCATTCAGTTGTTTCTCCAGCTCATGGGCCCCTTGCTCTAACTCTCTCAGCCTGTCCCTACACTCAGCTGTGGCTGTGCGTTTAGCCTCCAGCTCACGCTCCATGGCAGCAAACTGCTCTGGGGTGATGTCCACCACCACGGCACAGCCCATGCGTCCCTTGGCCACCTGCTTGCCCCCACCACTCATTGTGCCTGGAAGGACAGAACGTACCAAATAAATCAGCTCTTATTGTAAATATTATATTTATTTAATTCTTATTTCAACTGGGTAGCTCATTCAGTGGAACCCACTGTCTCCCATGGGTCAAATAAAGAGAAGACAATGTGAAGAAATTACAGGTTAAAGGGAGGATACAAAATTTGCAAACATCACAAAATAAAATGATCAAATTATCATGAAATATCTCACTGGATTGTTAGGGAATGACAGTCTAAAGCATCCTTTAAAGTTGCGGCTCCTGGCGTTTTGACATTTTCAAGAAAAAGTGTATTTTGCCAACGCTGGTCGGCCGACCAGCGTTGAAAAAAAACTGGCTTTTTTTTCAAAAAGTGCTCCTAATTTTTCATATTTAGTTTGTCTGCGTTTTCTTTGCAATTGATTACACACCTGTGAAGACTACAAGCCTGCTAGACTGATCCTCATGATCTTACAATTCCCCAAGTCTATAAATTGCTTTGGTTCATCTTAAGTGGCGTCAGGGAACCAGACTACAAGAATATGATTGGTTTTCTTGGTTTTTCTAGCATCTACGAACCCAAAATGTGAAACAAGTCAGTGTAACAATATTTTCTATTACATACTGATCCTCCAAATCCATTTATTTCTGAAAATTGCAGCAAAAGCAAATGTTGTACATTCCCTTTAAGATGTGGGAGGAAAACCCCAGAAGAGAAGAGTATTCTGAAGAAACTCAAAGAATCAGGTAGGGACTGAAAAATAAATCCACATTGGCCCAGGCAGGTAACAAACCCGGGTCAAAGTCGTGAAAGGCGAGGAAAGTATCGCTTTGCCAACCCAACTCCCTCATACCAATAGCCATGTTATCATTATTAATACTAAACAAAACAAATCAGGTAGTGGGAAAAGTGCAAGCACTATAAGTTGCTTTACAGCAACCCCAACACACCTGAAGCGTTGGCGAAAAAACAAAAAAGTTCAACATGTGATCCACAATGTTTTGTATACCCTACAAGGGTTAACTGAAACTAAGAAAAGTGGAGAGTGCCACAGGATGTACAAGAAATTACAATGTACAATGTATATAGAGTTTCAAAATACTTTAGTGATCAATCCTCAACCAATATGGCATATCAATTTTGCATTGAATATAAACATTCCCCTTTGGCCCATACGGGCCATTTCCAATACAGTGTGCCACCAAGAAGTTGCCACAGCCAGTCAATTTTTCGCAGTTCATTGTGAGAGATGGTCAACAAATGCGCCGTGGCGCGGGACACTTAACATTGTAGTTGTAGTTTCGTAAGCGTACGATACAAGTATTTTTTTGTCTTTTCTTTTTATCACAATGTATTTTTTGTGAGGCGGCAGAATATGCCTCGATTTATAAAAAAATTCCTCAAGTTGTCTAGTGGCATTCGTTTAAAGCTACAGTCCATCATTTGCAGCTATCCAAAAAGTAACTGACATAATTATTGTTGAAAAACATACTTGGTTGAAAGATAGTAAGGGGACTAAACACCCTGTGAAATTATTCCTTCTGGCAAGCTGTCATTTTGAATAAATCAACGAAAGAAGGCCTTTCCAATGGTGCATCTTAAAATTTCCATTAGTAGTTCGTTTTTTAATTCGGCGAAATGAGCGCAAGCGTTGACACGACGCAAACGCGCGCGCTGCTATAATTCGTCGGATCAGTGCGCAACATCCCGTAACTGCAATATGCTCAGTGTGAACGTGTCTCGGACGCTGAATTCAGGCACAATTCAAAACATGATTCAGCAACTTTTGATTTGAAATCTAGATCCTAGAATGCTGTTTTTCTCGAAATGTACAGCTGAAGCTGAGCAGAAACTTCATCAGGTTAGTTGTTCAGACCCTTCTTTAGATTTTGAGCATGTTTGTTGCTTCAAACGAACAAAATGCACAAATTACAAATGATGGACTATACCTTTGAACCACAGCAAATCCGCCATGTTTTTGTTGTTTGTCAACTCTCCGTGGCAACCATTTGCTGTCGCACTTTACTGGGAATCGCCCGTTTTGTCTGACAAATGCTGTTACTACAATGCCCACTTTACCTGTTGCCTCAATCAGCTGTCCATTCAGTGTGACCACACGATGGCGCTTGCTTCCCTGCAGTCCAATCCTAGTAGCTTGGTCTAGGTCCTTGGCTACCAGTGTGTTACCCAGAGCATAGTAGAAAGCTCCAGCAAACTTGGGATCCTTCATGCGCACTAGGTCATAAAGACGGGGAACATTCTCTGGACTGTAGACAAACATGTGAGTGCAACATACACACACAAAAAGTTGGGTCAATCTCATATACGTAAGATATTCTACTTATGCTGCATCATTTTGTGAATATTGACTTACTTATGTGTAATCTTTATGGTTATTTATATAAACAATTTAGAGTTTTCTTTTAGTAGAAACATACAGATGCAATGAACTGACACCGTGAGGATAAGTGTAAGGATACTTACGCATTGAACTTCACTTGTGCATTCCTAGCCCGCTCTTCCATCTGAAGTTGAAAAATGATATAACTTTGAATGTATCAGATAGGAAACGACACAACAAAAAACTGTAGAGAAACAAATAATTACAAGAGCAATATTTTGTAAAAGCCACAATGCAGCATCAAAGTTCTGGAGGCTCATTTTCTCATTCGATCTTAAACCTTTTCAAAGTTTTAAGTCCCAATGAGAGTCTACAAAAATAATTCCTAAAATTGTACTCTTTGATTATTGCGATTAAACATTGCTTTCAGGAATACATTAAGATGTCTGAATGGAAAGAAGTGTTGCCTGATACCTTGTCCATAGCGATGAAGGTGGCAACCCCCACATTGTTATCTCTCAAAAACTTGACACATTTCTCTGCTGTCTCAATGTTGTTCACCACGATGTTATCCAGTGCACCACAGGCAGTAGAGATGGCTACGTCATATTTCTCATCAATGGCTCCAAGATCACCCTACAATCACAAAGACAAAAAAACACAAACAAATGTAATTCTTTGTGAGAATTAAGCCTAGCCATGAAATTGGGTCCTGTAATGAATGACATTGATACCCTTCACCTTTCTGCACTTCACCAATGAGGGGCACCTGTGCAACTATTCCATTGTGCAGGAACATTCCAGCAGGAAATCTGAAGTACACAAGGAAACCATACATATTTCACAGCACCCTAAATTAGTTTCTTTTCACATCGCTGATTCAGAATGACCATTGACAAGTGCTTACCAATCTTCCATGAATGCCTGTAATCTTGCCCCGTCTTGCCTGCTCCATCAGCCCCTCCAGGACCGCCCCACGATCCCTGGCAGATTGTAAGGAGCTACGAGCCTCTTCTACCTTGGTGACCAAGGCGTGCAGCTCCTGAGAAGCCTTGGCCTCGGCTTGCTTGATTGTGGCTAGGTCACTCTGGGCCTTGGGCAGTTGGCTCTGGAGCTGTGGGATTTGCCGCTCCAATTCCTTGATGGAACTGATTGAAAAAAGGAGTAAAGTTGCAGTCAAGTTCATTTCCAAGTCTTACAAGTCTACTGAAATACAGCTGGTTATTCAAACATTAAGGCGGTCTTAACTCTAGTTCCCTACGATGTGTGGAAAACCATTGGAGGATTCAGGACTGTTAGGATTAATGCTTGGACTTAATCCAGCAAAACAATCCAATATTGGACGGTGGACTGGTCTTTACAATTTTCATTTATTATCTATTATTTGCCCTGTATTTTACCAACGTAAAGCTGAGGAAATGGGATGCACGGTGCCTTACCCTTTCCGTTCAGCTAGCGTCGTTGTCGTGTTCTCCAGATCAGCTTTAGCCTTCTCCAGCTTAGCCTTGGCACTGCCTTGTTTCTTGACCTGAGTCTCAAGCTCAAAGTCTGCCTCAGCTTTCTTGGACTTGGCCTCGTTGACAGCCTTCTGCATACCCATCAACTGCTCTTCTTTCACCTGGTAAATTGGAATTGATAGGGGTGTAGTTTCAAAGCTATTTTTGTTGTAAGAAATGGTCAGGAACTGGACTCAATATATGCATTTTGTTTTGCCCAGACAAGGCTGCAAACATCTCTTTGAGTACTTTTGTATTTACATGTACTGATCACACGGACCAACTTACATCTTTCTCAGCTTGTAGATCCTGTGTCTCTGTCTTGAGGGAGGCCATAATCTCTCCCATCTTAGCTTCTTCTGTTTTCAGTCTTTTCTCCAAAGTTTCCTTACCGGCCTCCAGCTCCTTAATCTCCTGCTCACTCTTGGCTGGCACTGCTTGTAACTCCTCCAACTGGCACAGGACAATGACAGTAAATGATTTATAACCTTATCAGTGCTTTCATTACCTATGGGTTTGTGGATGTCACTATGTGAATATCAATTTGTTTTGTGAAGAAGCTTTGATTCTGAAAGAACTCCCAAGGCAAGACCAACAGAACTTTATTAGAAAGGGTATACTATCTGAAACATTGAGAAAACACTCTCAACATTTCTACATGTGCTTTTGAACATGAAACTGACAGCATTCCCAGATTAAAACAAAACCTGTCAAGTCTTTTAACTGATCATACTTTGGTCTTTTCTTTCTGCAGACTCTTGACAAGTTTCTTCTGTTTCTCCTTGGTATGTTTCAGGTCTTCCCGACACTTCACATCTTGTTGTTCAAACTCTGCAAAGTCTGCCTTCTTCTGTTCTGCAATCTCTGACAGTTTTTCATACGTCCTGTGATGTGAAACATGGAATTATTAAAAAGGGGAAAAAGAGTTTGGAAACTCCACAGCCATATTTTAGCTGTTACACGTATCTAGTCTGTACCATAGTTCTCATAGACATTTCTGGATTATATTTTCTATCTAGTTTATTGGGGCATCAAGACCACAATAGATATAGGGAGATGGATCACATGCAAATTTTACTGACTTGAATATTTTCTTGTTTTCCTTTGTTTTGGTCTTGTTGTCCTCAGCAAACTTGTCCAGTTCTTCTTTCATCTCCTTGAAGGCCTCGGCCACTTTGTTTCGCTTCTCTTCTGATTTCTTCTCATTCACATTGCAGTCCTGACTGTACAGAAGGAAACATTCTATGTTTAAATGTGTGGCTTTTTCAGCAACAGCATTTAACACTTTAACTTGAATTATATGTATTCCGAAGGGATTTTCCTTTGATTTATGAAGTAGACATTTTTTTGCTAGGATGCAACCTCAATCCTGCAAAATCCTCCAACTGCTTCTATGTAGTAAAAATTGCATACAGCCTCGTTGCAATCATGCAAATCCTCCGTTAAGTCTTGAATGTGGTCCTTGGAGGGTGACCACTGCCTCCATCCTGCAAAATCCTCCAGCAATCACTGTCAACATGTTGCGGCACAGCCAGTGACATCCTGGAGCAGTGCGGAGGATTTCAAGTATAATCTAGGCCTAACTTTATGCACGGATGAGCATAAACAAAGTCCAGCCTAAGAAATTGACACAAAGCATACTCCAAAATTAGCCACACACTTTTGCCACATCGCCTCAATCCTGCAAACTCATCCATTTTGCAAAGAGGATTTTGGAGGGTTAGGGTTAATAATCTGACAACTTGTGGTCAATGAACATCTAAAAGTTAGATAAACTAAAAAAAATGGGCAGCCTAACATTTCGATCCTTGCAGAATGGCTCTGACAAAGATTCTACCAGGATAGTAACTTTAGACCATCAATTTTTCAGTATTTCAGGTCAATCCAGTCAGAGAGCAGTCTGCAGCAGTTTTATTAATTTTAAACTAAAATTAAGACAACATTGTGAAAAAAACCTACACATATTTGCTGAACAGCTTGTGCTTTTTCTTGGTGATTTCATTCTCTGTCTTGAGGAATTCCTGAGCTTCCTTCATGGGTTTCTCAAGTTGCTCCATTTCAGATTCAACAGCCTTCACGCGACCCAACTACAACACACAAGGAAACAGTGAGATGATATGTATTAACTGCTAGAGCTTGATCATATTTAGTGATGGTAAAGTTGAACAATGTGACTTTTATGCAATGCTATGCCGCAAGCATTTAGTTAGGATCAGGCAGTGTGGACCAATCTAGGGCTGTGCATCGAGAACCAGTTACGTGGAGTACCCGACCGCTGATGTCAGGAACTGGTTCCAGATTATGGGATCGGGTGCCCATTTTTACATACCAATTTTACAAATACCTAGTATTAAACTTCTCAGACAATGAAAAAACAAAAAGGTATTGAGCGTGGAGAATTTTCAAAATGAAAAGCAGGTTACACAGGAAAACAAAACATATTTCACGTTTATGACGCTCACGAATATTGCAGTTTACACTGTAACGCTATTAAGCCCACTGTACACACCTGTATTTTGATACATTGATGCACGGATGTGGTAACATCGTGCAGACCTTCAAGAACAATCTGAACAGCAACTTCCGAGATTTGAACTTTTGGGTTGGGTTTCTTAAACGGGTACCTGGGTACCCATGTTTTTTTTCAGTTGGGTACCCGGTTCCTGTACTACCCATAATGCACACCCTTGGACCCATCCCTGCCCTCCTTTCTACCTTTTCTCCTCTTTCTTCATTAAGTTGTTCCACTGCCTTAGCCATCTCCTCAATAGGTTCTTTGTACTGGTTGCTGCCAATGATGTCCTCTAGATACTCCAACATGCCTTCCTCGTGCTCTGTCTGAGCCTTAGACTTCATCATGGCTATCTGTTCAACCTCACCCTGAGAGGGAATTGCAGAGAAAAATGAACAGGAATGAAAATAGGCTGCAATGAATTGAGGTATTCAAGAAACGCATTCACACACGTATGTAGCAAGTGTTTCCTTCACTTTAAAAAAAGTGTGAAATATTGCAATTTCAGTATCAGTGCATGGCATGAAGTTAATATCAAAACATATATATAAATAGTTTTCAATTTCATTGTCTCCATACAGTTAAACTGTAATGGAAGTCATTCTGCAAAAAGAGTAATAAGTCAAATAAAAGTTTATGTACTAACAATAAGTGTCAGCCTTATTTCCTATGTACCTGTAGGATCAAAAACCGGTTATGATCCAGGTCAACACCACTCAACTTGAGCAGAGCAGTGACCTCTTTGAAAGAGACTTTCTTTCCATCCACGTAATAATTGCTGCTGCTGTCTTGATAAGCAGTACGAGAGACCACAAAGGTGCTGTTGGGAACCACATTGTAGTCATTGTCACCCGGCTGAAAAAAAAAAACAAACAAACAAACAAATCCATAATTAGGTTCTAATATAGACCTCTTTATACAATGCCTGAATAAATCCCTGTTATCTGATTGGTAGATCTTTGATCACGTCATTGAATTACTTGTCCTAACCCATGGCCCAGCCACACCGAAAAAATAGGTCCATTTCATGGTGTTAAATAGAAATTCCATTGCTCGGTCACATGATTGGTGGCTCTAACCAATCAGATGACAATGATTTATTCAAGTGTTGTATATAACAAATAATGTTTCACATTCATGCAGTGGTAAGAATAATTTCATTCGAATTGCATCTGTCACCTGAAACAAAATAGTGTCCATTGCACTCATAAATAATACTTTGCTTACAATATTCATTGCCATTTTGTTTATGCAGCCATAAGCTGCATTATTTTGTTTGGCAAATGTGCCTAAAGAATTAGTTTGTATTTATTTACTCATAATTATTTAGTTTTTGGTATGTGTTGGTTTGAATGGTTCTCTGACATATATTAATCTTTTGAGTTGTTTTAATTGAGAGTTTGAGTTGTCAGTTGTTATAATGAAAGGTATACACACAGACCAATTAAAGGGATTATACAACACTTGCTTTTGCTGTAATATTCAGAAAAGGATGGATTATATAGCAATATTGTTACACTGACTTGTTTGAAGTTTTGAGTTCATAGATGCTGGAAAAGCCAAGAAAACAATCTTGCTCATGTAGTCTGGTTTTTTGACCCCACTTTAATGAAATTTCGGAGCAATTTATAGACGTCCGGGAATTGTAAGTTCAGGGAACTAGTCTAGCTGGCTTGTACCCATCCATACGGGTGTACTCGATTGTAAACAAAATGCGGACTAACTAAACATGTGAAATTGGGGGCAATATTTGGAAAAAACCCAGTATTTTTTTCTCAAGCTGGTTGGCCGACCAGTGTTAGAAATTGATACAAAATGTCACTTTTCTTGAAATGTCAGCTGACAGCCTGCCTCACTAACAGTCCAGTAAGGTACTGTTTCATAATAATTTGATACACATTTTTTTTTTTTTTTGGATATTTGCAAATGTTGTATATAAAGTTACCCCAGTGTCGATGATCTTCTGGAAGTGGACCGCTACAGTGCAGCTGGTCAGGTTACGATGCTGTTCTGATTTGTGGATCAGGACTGAGAGCTTCTTGGAGCGGATCTTGGCAGCACGATAGCCAAACACAAACAGCATGGAATCTATTACATTGGACTTGCCACTTCCGTTGGGTCCAATTATACATGAGAAGCTCTACAAGGAAAAGGTCATCATGATTGTCAAATAATAAAATACGGACAAATTGTAGCAAAGTGTGTAATCATACATTAAGGTGGATAGGTCCATTGTGTACCGGTAACTATAAATGTAATTTAAGTGCTTTAAGACATCTCAAATTGTTTGCAAAACAACAAAACAAGATTTCTTAACAGCACACTAATGTTATGTAAAAACAAATAATTTCATGAGGAACTGATGATTTTTACAGTGTCATTTACACAAAAGGTTACCTTGTGAAATGGGCCAAGGGAGATCTTCCCAGCATAGGACTTGAAATTTTCTGTGACAATCTTGGAGATCATGAGTCTGGGTTCATCTGGTGATGGACGTTTAGCTGCACTATTGACACTGGACTGTGAAGTGTTGATTGATGTTTCATGGCTGATACTCCGCGGTGGGTCAGTCTGGCTTGGAGAAGGCTCATTCTCTTTATGGGATTAAAACGATGAATTTGCTGATGACGGCAAGTTTTCCAACTCTTTGTGTGGATTTAATTGTAGGTTTGACTTTATTCTTTATCAGTTTCCCTCTTCCACTCTAGAAAGTTTTGAGTTGTGGTCAAGTCCATAACAATGTTGATGCATGTTAAATCACAAATCCTTTCACAAGTTATCAAGGGAAGAAGACTCATTAAGGAATGCATTTGTCAAAGTTCATATGAATAGTTTGTGACTAGAAACTGAGTTACTTGTGACCGACTTGTGATAGTTTGTGATGACTTGTGACGTGCGATGGACTGGACTACACTATTGTACATGTATCAAAAATGCAGGTGGACTTATCTAACTAGCAACTAATTTGCTTACTGGCATTCATACAACTTACAGGTATGCAACTGGGAATTTAGAGGAAAAAAACTCCAAACCACACAAGACTTTGCACAGTGTTTTTCAATTTATAATGGCATTCATGAGAAGTAAAAAATGAGGAAATCAGTGGATCCAACGAAAAGTTACATGTAGGTTGTTTTGGCCCTGTCTATGAGAAGTCTGAATAAAACAGAAGGCAAAATATTAAACTTTTACCTTTATTCTCCTGTGATTCAGCATTTGTCTCCATAGGTTCCTCAATTTGTCCATCCATTTTGTACAACCCAAAAATGATGCTGCAAAGGCACTAAGTAGAGGGGAAATAGATATAAATTAGGCCCTCTACAAGAATATCATGCCCTGAATATATGCCTATTGCTTTCTGCGCATGCATAACAGCTGCCGCAATATCTTCTGTTTAGTTAGCATGCTTAGAGCTTCGTGTAGGTCCACCTGGTTGCAAGTGGGCTCAAGACATGCATATCAGCCATTTGCGCCGCATAAGCCACTGTAGTTATTTTTGTTGTGCCATAAAAAAAACTTCTAGCTACATGTATTACATGAATAAGGGAGATACGGGTAAGACACTGTACTGTCAGGGGCGTAGCAAGGTCATTTTTATGGGGGGGGGGTTTAAACATTTCTTGAATAGGTTACTGCACATCCATGCTGAAATTTTGACAGGTTTTTTTTTCTCTGAACACTTGGCCTCCATAAAATCCAATAGCGAGAGGGGGGGGGGGGGCTGGTACCATCTGTCGATGGGGCGCTGTTCAAAACCAACGATTACGCACACGAACTAACAACACATGGTGCTTTTCAGGGTGAAACCTGCACGAAATGTTTTAAAAAGGCACCCGTAACGACCGATGGCACACAAAAGGGCACGACTGATTTTTTTTTAAAAATAAAGGACACTTGTTAAGAAAAAAAGGGCACTTGTTCACAAAAGGACACTCTTTACAAATATTTTTTTGGGGGGTGGGGAAGACCTGGTGAAAAAAGGGCATTTAAATGGAAAAGGGCAGTCTTCACAATAGTGGGGGAGGGGGGGGGGTAAGTAACCCCCTAACCACCCCCACCCCTTGGCTACGCCTATTTAATTGAAAAAAAAAGTCTGCTTTAGGTTGAAAAAGTCATTCTTGAGTAACAAAAAATTTGATCGAAACTAAACAGGGGCCCTACACTACACGATCGCCCTTCCACTTGATGTCAGTGTCACATTATGACTCCAGTACTGCCTGAATTCTAATGGCACCTTTTGTTTGTAATTTGAACAGTTTCTTAGGGTTTTTCCTACACGTTTTACAGTTGGTGCCCTGCAATTTAGTGCGCCTTGCGCGTTCACAGTCATGACGGTACATCGTGCGGTGATCGCCATCTTTATTTTCGTGTTGCGTTTTACGTTGTCATTTTACCCCCCAATTTCCCTCAAAAATTCAAATTCCCCTCAAAAATGTAATACCTCGGGACAACTGATGTTCTGGTTGAAAATTTTTAACATGTCGAAGGGCGTGGCATTGTTATTGACGCCACGTTCACGGGGTGTAGAGTTACTCTACACATATGAACGTGGCGTTGTAAACAATGCCACACTCCATCCTTGCGTAAATACACTCAAATTGTCACGCGGCACGTCATTTCACAAGTATTATAAGTACTTGCATACAAAGCTTTCTGTAAATTCACGCGATTGTAGGATCCTGCATTGCAAAGAATCTTGAGGGGAAAAAAGACCTCGACCCTGGTAAGGTTTTTTTTACTAGTGTTGTGCATCGGGTCGGGTTGACAAGACCAAACTGACCGAGACATTTATTTTACAAACCGAATTCGAACCGACCCGAAAGAAATAAGTGGCTTTGGCAAATGTGTTCATTTTTTTTGCGCCTGAACTGACCCGCTTCGCGTAAAAAAATGTGGGCTTTCAGTAACGGAATCATGCCATACGGCACACACAAAGTGACCAACTGGTGGGCCTACATGTTATAGACCGATTTAGACAGACCGCAAACAATTTTCAGTGCTGAATAGTCAATAGTGGCATTGCGCGCAGTGACTCTGCACTAAATAGTGCACCATGTGAATTTCCATTCTGTTTCGGTTTATTTCGGGTTTTTTCAAAAATGGCTTAACTGACCTAACCCGACCCGAAAATCGCAAACGCAAAACCGAAACCGACCCGACACGACCCAACTCAAATGATGGACAAACCGACCCAACCCGACCCGAAGTCGGTTTTGAGTCGGGCCGGTTTCGGGTCGGGTTTGCACAATAGGTTAGCCCAACTTGTGTGGCCTACTGTTTTGCTGCGCTGTACGTTAGGCCACACGTCTGGTTTCCCAATGTACTGACGAGTTAAATCCCAAACTGGCACATAAGGGCTCCAGAAAAGTGTCTAAATTTCTCTAAAAATTTGAAAAAAGATTACCTAATCTGCCCGGAGGGCAAAAGATGAGACATCATAGAATACAACCGTATGCAGTGGTATGTAACAAAATGCCCCCCAAAAGGTGTGCCGGTTTTGGATTAATCTCCTCAGTAGGTTGGAAAACCAGACGTGTGGCCCAACGTACAACGGAGCAATACGGAGGCCACACAAGTGGGGCTACACAATACGCATCTGATGATAGGCCCCCTATTATTATTAAAGTATTACCACCCCCCCCCCCCAATATTTTGTAAAGACTGCCCTTTTCCATTCAACATTGTTCAAATGCCCTTTTTTTCACCAGCGCTTACGCTTACTTTCGTGATATAGTGCCCTTGTTTTTTTAACAAGTGCCCCCCTTTTTTAACAAGCATGACAAGTGCCGTTTTTAAAAAGAAAGTCGCACCCTTTTTTTGTGCCATCGGCCATTTTGAGTGCCTGGTTTTTTTAATTTCAGTTTCACTCATGAATCACCCTGAACAGAAAAGCACCAAATATTGTCTGTACACAGTGTGCACCACTATACTCCAAGTTCAAGAACTATCAGCTACGAGGCTCCGCTCACGCGGAGCCTAATCTAGGAGTAACGAGTATGTCGGTTTTAAACAACGCCCCCATTGACAGATCAGGCATGCAACTGGGAAGTCACACAAAAAAGAGGAAACTAACATCTTTTCAAGACTTCTTTGTAAATTGTACAGTGCTTTTCTATTGGTAGTGGATATTTTGCCGGAGGTAACGCCGGCAAACTAACGTTTACTAAAGGTTTGCCGGCGGCAATCCATATCAACAGAGGGCGCTGTACTCTTTAAGATAGGGCTGAATTATAACATGTATTAAATTCCCACCAAAGTTGTGTAGCACAGTCGGTGCAGTGGTTAAGCAATGGCTCTAGTGAGTGGGATGTCCAGAGTTCGAATCCTGATCCCCGCCACAAATTCAAGGGGTTTTTTTCCCATCCCCAAATAAATAAGAATATTCTTCTTTTATTATTTTAATATGTCTCAAACATTTTATTGCAGAGTATTACTTTTTCTTTTTCAGATTTGTGGCTCTGGAGGATTTTTTTTAAGGCAGTGGATATTTTGCCGGAGACGGCAAACCTTTAGTAAACGTTAGTTTGCCGGATATGCACTGAACATGCGCAGTTACTGTTTTTTTGTACTTAAACATTTTCCGGTGACAAATTTTAGTCTGGCTCCATGCCAATATTATCGTTGTAACCTCGTATTCACAAGATGGGATTCAGACCATTTTATAATTTCGGACTTCATTTCCCTTTTAAAAAAAATCCTCCAGAGCCACAAATCTGAAAAAGAAAATGTAACACTCTGCAATAAAATGTTTGAGACATGTTAAAATAATAAAAGAAGAATATTCTTATTTATTCGTGGATGGGAAAAAAAAACTTTAAAATGTGGCGGGGATCGGGATCGAACCCAGGTCATCCCGCTCTCTAGAGCTATTGCTTAACCACTACACCAAACGTGCTTCACAACTTTTGGTGGGAATTTAATACATCTTATAATTCAGCCCTATCTTAAAGAGTACAGCGCCCTCTGTTGATATGGATTGCCGCCGGCAAACCTTTAGTAAACGTTAGTTTGCCGTCATTACCTCCGGCAAAATATCCACTAGGCCCCTATCTTTTTTTAAAGGGAAATAAAGTCCGAAATTATAAAATGGTCTGATTCCCATCTTGTAAATACAAAAATACAATGATAATATTGGCATGGTCAGATGGTGGAGCCAGATTAAATTTGTCACCGGAAAATGTTTAAGTACGAAAAAACAGTAACTGCGCGCATGTTCAGTGCATATCCGGCAAACTAACGTTATAATACTGAAGGTTTGCCGTCTCCGGCAAAATATCTACTGCCTTTTCTATTTTCAATGGCACACATGGGAAGTAAAAAAAGAGGAAATCAGCTGATCCGAGTAAAAGTTGCATGCCTGACAGATAGCACCAGCCCCCCCCCCCCCCCCCCCCCCCCCCCCCCCACTATTTAGTATTTGATATTACGGAGGCCAACTTAAAGTGTCTGGAGAAAAAAAACGTGTCTAGCATGTCTAGCCTACATTTCAGCTCGGACATTGTCGGATGTGCGACTGCAAAAAAGTGCCCTTTTCAAGAAATGTTCCCCCCCCCTACCCCCACTGTTTAACCATGTTGTTAACACTACGTAGAAAGTAAAAAGTCTATCGACAATAGTTCTTCATTATATCGCCAAAACAGTAATTTGAGTGGGAATTTTTGTTCAAATAGTACTTACCCAATTTGCTCTGTCAATTCAAAACAAGTAGAATTGAAAATGGCGCTGTGCATTGACCGCCTTTTTAACGAAGATTGTGATTGGACAATGCCTAATATTAGGCTCGTTCAATCAATCGATGTCCATTGTCTACCTCGTCCTCAGGGTGTCGAGCAGTACGCGCCCACACTCTCTATGAGGTTGGAAATAAAGTAAGCACTGAGGACGAGGTTGGGTGACAGTTTTATCCGGATATCGGCAAAATTTGACAGAAGAAGTTTTCGGAAAAACCCGAGTTTGACAGAAAATTCCGCAGAATGAATTGTTACGCAGATTTCTAGCAGAATTCTGTAACTTTGGTAATGTGACAGAAAAATATGGCAGATTTGAATTGTATACAGCTGATTAGTTTTGAAAAGTTGAGGCTTCGAAAAATCCATGACGTGTATTGATACAGTGAAGTCACGGTTTTGCAAGCCAGGCTAGACACGTGCAAATTAAAAATAAATAAAAATAGTTAACCAATTTATGTATCTAGATAGATAGATAGATAAAAGTCAATAACTTGTATCTATCTATCTATCTATCTATCTATCTATCTATCTATCTATCTATCTATCTATCTATCTATCTATCTATCTATCTATCTATCTATCTATCTATCTATCTATCTATCTATCTATCTATCTATCTATCTATCTATCTATCTATCTATCTATCTATCAAATTTGCTGCTCAATCGATCACTTAATTGATTGAACTCAAATGGAATCGAATGCTCTGGTAGCGAAAATGAAACGCGTGCTCAGAGCGATTCTCAAATTCAGATGAAAATGAATGACGTACGATTTTCAGAAGTGAATGAACATTTTAGAAAATTGGCCGGGAAAACCTATATTAAAGTATTAAAAATGTTAATATAAGTAATTAAAAAGTTCAGTCTTAAAAACAAATAATTTCTGTAAAGAAAATGTTAAGATTTTATGACATCTCAGGGGCGTAAGTCCCGGGGGGGGGGGGGGGGGGATTGGGGTGGGGGATATATACCCCCCACTTTAAGACCAGGGCCCAATTTCAAAGAGCTGCTTGGCTTAACGGTAAGCAAATTGGGCCCAGGGGTATGGGCTATTGAATCCCCCCCTCCCCCCTCCCCCCCCCCCACAAACACCTTTAATTTCGTGATGAAAAAAAATGCGGATTTCGAGGTATTTTCAAACATCCCAAGAACCAAAATGTATATAATAGCACTGAAAAGTGGAGAAACAAAGTACAAAAGCTTTTAAAATGCGCCGGTTTTTTTGGAAGCGCGAGTACGATCATTGATATACATGTACATTGTACATCTATATCCTGAAGAGCGCCCTCTAGTGTAAGGTGGTGCCCAATAAAATAATATGTACGTTTCCCGGCTGTTAATGTTGGGGGGGGGGGGGGGGGGGGGGGGGGGGGGGGGGGGGGGCGGGGGGGGGGGGGGCGGGGGGGGGGGGCGGGGGTCCTCCCCTAAATATTAACCCAGTACCAAAATGCCCCCAACACAAAACCCGAAATGTGACCCTCGCAGAGAAGTTTCATGAAATATAGCGTCCCTAGTGTCCAGTGGCGTAAATCTGACTCCTATATGAAAATCGGACTCCTTTTCCCTATTATTGGTTAATCCCTCACACGCGACATCGACAAGCCCCTTTCCCAATCTAACACGAAATACACGGTGAGTAAAAAAAAAAGAAACCTAAATGTTGGGACCATTGTTTTAGTGAAGTTCTGCATGTAGCACTTTCAAAATTTAGGATAAAAGCCCAATACATAATTATGCTTTCTTTTAGTACAAGAATCATTCAAATCACTGACGTACTTTTCAAGATACAGAATTTTAAACACAACCACGGTTTTAAGGTTCTGTCCACGGATCACAAAAAGGTCAGTGCTAGTCTTTCAGCAAAACGAAAACAAATCACACATACAGGGATGTGTGTGAATTGTTTTCGCCGTGGACAGAACTTTAAAACGGTACGTGGTTGTGTTTAAAATTCCGTAACTTGAAAAGTACATGAGTGATTTGAAAGATTGTTGTACTAAAAGAATGATGAATTGGTCTTTTATATCCTAGATTTTGAAAGTGCTACATGCAGAACTTCAATAAAACAATAGTCCCGACATTGGGGTTTCGTTTTTTTACTCACCCTGTATCCTAAAATGTTCATTCACTTCTGAAAATCGGTCATTCATTTCGTCTGAATTTGAGAATCGCTCTGAACACGCGTTCATTTTCACTAGCATTCGATTCCATTTCAGTTCAATCAATTAAGTGATTGAGTATAGCACCATTCGTTTATGTCAATTCAGATTCATTTACAAGACTTCTTTTTCGCTTTTAGAGGGCGATTTCAAACATTCACCATTCTATTTCAGTTTTAGTTTAATGTCATCGGCACCAGATACAATTAGGGGTTTCTTTTTCATTAACCGTCAATCAAGTTACCTGTACCTGAAATCAATTTAGAAAAGGTATGCTTGCGTAGATGAATGCACAGGTAGGTAATTGGCCGTCGTTTCTCAAAACCGATGCACGTACAATGAAAACGCCTGAACTTCGATAAATTGAAATAGATTAAAGACGTGCATTCAAATTCAAACGAAAACGAATGACTGATTTTCAGAAGTGAATGAACATTTCAGGAAATTGGCCGGGAAAATCTATCAACAAATAAATAAACACCACAGTAGCTGCTTTATGTCAATTCAATTCAATTCAATTCAATAGCAACATTTATTTCTACACTTTCCACAAGCAATTAAGTTTCCAAATTGTTTTTTTTTTGGATGTTACAGTGCTCAGCTGGAGTGGGTGGGAGGGGCCGGCTATATGAAAAACCGTTGGTTCCCATGATCGGAATACACACCACGATTCAACCAAAACTAACCACAACTCATTCGCCAAACAGAATCGTTTTATTTTCTTTCTATTTTTCTTCCATCGGTAAACAGTTACAGATCCTCTGATAATAAGAAATTATATTGTGCAGACTACATCGCATCATTTTTGTCTGCAAATAGTACCTAGTAATCATACTATGGAAATGAAAATGCAATGTAAAATGGTAGATTCTACAAAGTGTCAGAAACAAAAGGAATGAGCCTATTTTTAAGATGCCTAGTGAACAAAAAAGAAGAAACAATCCGCTACTATAAGTTAGGTTACTGTCCGAAACTTAAATTTACAGAATTCGTTAAAGTAACAGCCAATTATTAAGAAAACAATCTTTCAGGAGAGATCAGGTAATTCAACAAGAAAATAAGCCCCATGAGAAAGTGGTCCCAAAAAGTCGTTTCATTCACGTTTTCTGGTTAGTAATTTAGTAATTTTGCACACACTACTTTTTTTTTTTTTAGATGTACAGCCACAGACCCACTACAAAAAAAATGATTATAAATCGCAACAATGTAATTTCAGTTGTGAACTGAATTTTTATAAAGCAACAAGTGCAGATATATACAAAAGAAAGGTGTATCTAATCTTTACACCTACTAAATTATTGTTTCTTGGAAACAATTACGACGTTTGCCCACTCATGTCTTTAACAGCAATAAAATAATCAAAACTATAAAGAGAGTTAAAATAAACACATGAAAAAATGCAACCAACAGGATCACAATTTTGAACAAATGTGATGGGCTTTAAACAAAAAAAATAGTTCAACAAGTTGAAGTCTTGTTAGAAACAAACACGAGTGTGATTGAGTTCCATTTACAATGACCTAATTCCACATACATGCATAAAGTAGGCTAAATATTTAACCAAACATCTACTCAGCATAATTCAAAATCTAGAAAATTGTAAAAATTGTACAAATCCACATAAAGTTTGTATGCCATTTATCATATAAATTTATGTATAAAATTTGAGATTAAATCATTCTCTACTGGTCTTCTACAAATCATTGAAGTGATTTACAAATTTAAATCACGACACATTATGGCACCAGCCAACACATCACCAAGAATAAATAATGTCTCCAAATTCTCCAACATGCACTGGATGTACATAACCTGAATACTGAATCATGTATACTAATGGGTAAAATCTATATAAGTTTTAACCAAAAATACATGTGTATATCAGCAGGAACTCAAAAGTTTCATAGGTAAATTCATTTAAAGAATAAAACATTCTAAGCAAAAAATCATCTGATGCATAATATCCATATTGTGAGCCAGTTACTTGCGGATTTACGACCCCAGTGAATGAGCATAGAAAGAGACGTGGAGCTGCTACGCAGAAAACAGTGTGTGACATGTTCCAAATAAGACCAATATGCCGGGCACTTGTCACAAGCCATGTGAAGCACACACGGCACACTGGTTACCTTACTTTTTATAAGCAAAATTTTGTTCTATGTTAATTTCTTATTAATTCTAGAATTCATTTGTACCTTCAGCTAGTTACTTTTTGTAATTTTTTTCTCTTTTGTATTTTGTAATTATATTTGTACGTGTATTTATGTGCCAAAATAAGGAAACAGGCCACGTACAAGCATTTGCTTTTGCCTGGTATCCACCATTTATCACCCCCTAGTGTGCATTATATAAATAACTGTTCCATTATTTATTGTGACGTATGGAAATAAACCAAACCCACTACGAATTTGAAAGTGTAACTGCATACAAATTCTGCAGACTTGGAGATATTCTACAGAGTATTACTCCACAGGGTTCTTGGGCACCTCCTTCATCTTGTTGGCATGCTCCAGCTCATTGCGGAAGTAGTCAATAGTCAATTGTAGGCCCTCGTCAAGGGGCACCTGCAAACCAACAAAATCATGGTAGAGAATAAATAATTACTGGGTTTACAGAAGTAGGGGAGTTAAGACTAAAATTCAGTATCTACGTAAGCCACCTTGGCATTCTAGTGACAAATGTGCCCCACCAGTTGGCAACTGCACACATCAAGCTCTGATGCCTTTTCCTTTCAAGACAATTTGCTGCAAGCTTTCAGAATTACAGAGGGTACTGATGAAATGGAGAAAAAGCTCCTCTTTTAAAGTACGAATTGTGTTTTACAACATTTTTTATTCTCACTTTTGCACAAACTGTAATTCTTGTTCTTTCCTTCTCCCTTGCTTTTTTAAACTGCAGGTTTGGTTCTGATTTCCCCCCATGAGCTTGTACAGGGTGAGTCAAAAAAAGCGGAACCCAAACCCCCAAAAATATATTTCATATTTAAAAAAATATGTTTCACCAAAAATAATAATGACTGGAAAGCCAATTTCATAAGCTACTTTTAGATGAAAAAAATACTGAAAGTGCTCAATCCGTTCAAAGAATATCACCATTTAAACGCAACACCCTAAAACCTTTCTCGTCCAAAAAAGCAATTTATTGTGCGTTTTGACTGTTTGGAACAACAAAGAAAATGACACAGAATACTTGTTTTAACAACTGTCACCACCTGTAGTGCACAATATCTTTATTAACAACCCCGGTTAGGCAAACAATATAATTTATAAAATCTACTTTTTCTAAAAGACGGGCCTTCAAAAAGACTTTGTTGAATATTTAAACGTTTAAACTAAGAGATTATCGCTGGTGATGTTTAAACACAATTGTGACGACGATTCTTGAAATCGCATTTTTTTGGACGAGACAGGTTTTAGGGCCATTGTGTTTAAATGGTGATATTCTTTTAACAGATTGACCAATTTCAGTAATTTTTTCATCTAAAAGTGGCTTATGAAATTGGCTTTCCAGTCATAATTATGTTTGGTGCTACATGTTTTTTTAAACATGAAATATAGTTTTTGGGGTTTGGGTTCCGCTTTTTTTGACTCACCCTGTATACATGTTATCTGGTGCATTTGTACACGTATCCTCAAATCTTGTGCACACATTAATAGATGAACTTCATGGAATTTTAAGATTTTAATAGAAACACATGCGAACTGAAGTAGGGAAGTGAAGGTCCACAATAGAAGTCCCAATAAACTATGTGTATTCATTGTACTATTTACTCACCACAGGTTCCCAGCCTAGCACTTTCTTTGCTTTGGAAATATCCGGCTTACGGCGTTGTGGATCATCCTCAGCAGCAGCCACATTCTTTATGATGTTGTTGCCTCCTGAAATAACAAACAGTAACATTCATGTTTATAATGTGATCAGGTTTGGAACATCAGTAATGTCAGGTTGACATCTGATTATAAACTTCAGTCCTCCTCTTGATTTCTTTTGTCAAGTAAACTCACAATCTACATGTACATCCATATTTTCATGTCATTGTCTGCCAACAAACAAGCTTTTCTCTACCTTAATTAAATGTCCCTGTCCATGAGCAAAGAGTCAAAAGTCATGTATATGAAACATTTAAATTTCAGAGATATATTTCAATATTTGTTTCACACCTCAGCATACAATGGGGTATTCAAAACTGGATTAAAGGCTCAAGACGACCAAGATTTTCATAGTATTTTAAATTTATCATTGGCATTTATATCGAGTAAAACAAACAAAGAAGTAGCTGATCCATACAAAAGGTACAATGTATAAGCTAAAAGTTAAATGAGAGCATGAAATGCTTCAGCAATATCCCTCTTTTATCTTGTCTTAAATGTACCGTAGTTGTACATGAACTTGAAGCCATCAAGTGTCTAAAAACCACTTAGGTTTTAATTCTATCTCTCTGCTAAATTTTGTCATTCAGTAAAGTTTGGCCATAGAGTTACTATGCACCTAATCTCTGTGAGTGTGACCTTTAAAATGGTTGGGTGGTGCTGATCAAACACATTTATACTTGTTGTTCTTTATCCTGATTTACTAACATAAATTGTGTACTTGCCTATTTTATTCCTGATAATCTGGGCAAATTCCATGATAGTGTGCTCATCTGGGTTACCCTGTGATAACATTAGAAACAAAGTCACAAATCAAACTTGAACCCTGATACTGGATTTAAGTGAGTCAATGATCAAACTGCAAGCAGGAAGGGGTAGTGACTGTATGGGATGGTTAGGGTTATAAGTCATTGTAATTTATATTTATGCAGCTGCAAAGAATTTGTTTTAGATCAAAGATAATCACTTTATTAACAATTTATATTTCATTCTTAATAATATTTTTTATTTGATATTTTTATGCAAAAAAATCTTAAATTCTTTTACCAAATTGACAGGAGAGGATACGTTGGAGTTCATCAGTTTGATCAGACCATCCACTAAATCACTGCAGTAAAGAACAGATGAAAAACAAGTCAGGTGTGTTTACAAACACAAATGCCCCGCAACCATGACTGTTCCCATGACATAACACCACTCTTTTAACATCAACTTACATGTACATGTACTTGGGTCACATGGAACGTTCATTGACATCATAAGTGTTTTCTGTAGGTTTTTTTTTAGTATTTAATCCCTATGATCACAGAATAAATACAAGATTTCTATTGTTTTAGACACTGTGACATTGACCATCGACATTTTGGCCCCAAATGCAATAGGCTTCTTAGGATTACCAAAAACAATCCATAAACCAAATTTGAAGTTCACATGTAAAGTATTTCTCAAGTTATCGCGCTGACAAAATTCCTTTTGTTTTATTACTTTGCTCATTGGATCAGTGAAACATTCTATATACCATCTCAGCTCCCTGGGAATTACACAACTCCATACTCCCATTTCGGTGCAATGCAGATAAAATCAATCACAATAACCATCTCTGCCCTCACAGGTACCTAATTTCCTCCGTGGTGGGGGGTGGGGAAGCAATGAGTGACAAAGTTCCTTGCCAAGGGCACCATAAACCCATGCTGGACTCGAACCCACAACCTGCAGAATTACCCACAGACCACAAATTCAATGCTCCAGACCACGAGGCCTTGGCACCCCTGTGAGTGTTTGGTTAAATGTAATAATATTAATAATAACAAGTTCTTATAAAGCGCTATTTCATATAGATCACAGCGCTGTGACATGCATCAAACCTAATAGCAGGATACTTCATACCTGACGTATTGGAATGACCGAGACTGCTTGCCATGGCCATAGACGGTGATAGGCTGGGCCTGCAGAGTCTGCAAGATGAAGTTGCTGACAACTCGGCCATCATTCATGTGCATGCGAGGTCCAAACGTGTTGAATATTCTGGCCACCCGTACCTCAACATTTTCCTGTGTCATAGTTAAAGAGCAACATGTTAATTAAATAAATTGGCTCAGGCATCTAGACCATGTAGACCAAGGTCATATTTTGTGACAATTAGTTACTGAACAATTTTTTGCAAATAGAGTATTTGTCCATTCCAGACCATAAAAAGTACCTCCACGTGTCATTTAACCTGAACTCCCTAGCATGATTTACTAGGAGCTATACCCATCCTGGCAAATTCCTGGGGTTTGATGGGTTGAGTTCTGTTAGGGTTAATAAAACCATACAGCATATTCATGAAACACATGAGCTTTCTTTGTGCAATTGATCTAGTTCATTGTTTTTGCTCCCCACCCCTTTTTATTTGGAAATCACACCATTTGCTCCCGTTACTTGCGCATAAGACTCTTTTAAAATATTTGAAAGAGCTCAAATTTCATAAAGGAAACATGCTTAGAGTCCAAGCCCCAGCCATGTCTGAAGTTCTTCACTTTCTTCTTAAGTGGGTCAATGACCTCCATCACTTATGACTTTTACCTGTTTGGCATAGGCATAGCACATTGTCTCTGCAACCCTCTTGCCCTCATCATAGCATGCCCGAGGTCCAATGGGATTGACATGACCCCAGTACTCCTCTGTTTGGGGATGCTGCTGGGGATCTGTAACAACAGACAAAGCAAGTCAGGGGAGTCAGGTTGGCATAGCGGTTCTTTCCTTGCATCCACTATTAAGACCCGGGTTCGATTCCCACCTTGGCCAACATGTGGATTGGGTTTTCAGTCCCTACCTGATTCGGTGGGTTTTCCCCAGAATATTCTTCTGGGGTTTTCCTTCCATGTGTAAAACTGTAGTTTCTTCTCATTGTCTCCTCTCTACAGGTTTCTTCAGGATTGCGAGCTACAGTGCCTAGTGCACTTTTGATGTAGCCTTGGTTTCATCACCAGAAATACATATAAGTAATAATCATAATAATAAATACATCATATTTGTGTTTGCAGGATTTTGTTGCATATTCTTACTGTGGGAATATTTTGGGGGGTTGTCACTAAATGCACTGGGAAGTTTCACAATATCATATTTCCTTATAGAATGAAAGTGCTTGCAAAGTTTTCCTACTTTAAGTCTCACCTCCATATACTTCTGATGTTGATGCCTGTAAGAGCCTTGCCCGTGTCCTCTTGGCCAATCCCAGCATGTTGAGTGTTCCTAGAGAGCTTGTCTTGATGGTCTTGATAGGGTTGTACATGTAGTGGGGTGGGGAGGCTGGACAAGCCAAGTGATATATCTGATCCACTGCAAAAACGACAGAATACATATTAACACATAATGAGCATATTCAAGTCTACTGTGCAGCCAGGTGTCTTTTGTCAAGGAATATCGCTTTGCAAATGAGTGTGTTTGCACGTCCATGCCGATGGGTGCGGATGTGTGCAAATGGGTGCCAAATCTCCTTTGTTCGAGCTTGCACGCATGAACATGCAGATGCTTGGGGTTTCGCGCGTGTGCATGCGTACGCACGCTCCCTCGTGGAATAACTATGTGCTTGGCTGGTACTGGCAAGGGGCCTGGATGTGGATAATAGCACGAGCCGAAGGCTAACTGTGGTAAGCACATTTTGCCAGTGTACATGCATGCACTATTGCACAAATAAGCAAAGCCTTTGTCTCAAAGAGATTGTGAGAGGGAAGTCAGCTATTAACCAATGAAATTGGTGATGTTATTATAAATATGCATGATCCTTGCTGAATGCGCACCTTCTATGAGAAGTGGTTCGACAACATCGTGATTGATCAACTCAAAATTAGGATGTCCGACCCATTGCTCGATGTTTCGTTTGCGGCCAGTGAAGAAATTATCCACCACAGTGACTTCATGACCTTCCAGCATCAGCCGATCAGTGAGATGAGAGCCCACAAACCCAGCACCTCCGGTTATCTAAGGATCCAGTAACAAAAACAGTTGATTGAAATAGGACTTCAATCCAAGACCACTGGAATATCACTCACATGCTTCGCCAATGTCTACTCATGTGCACTATTTGTAAATACATGTATAAATATGATTTATAAGCCTAATACATATTTGACATAATGGTTTGTAAATGTTATCGAAATCTGTGAATTCGGAGGTTGGCCAATGACTTACAATGACAAGTTACATGTGTGAAGAACTTTCATGACACCTCTTTTTTAATGGTATGTGTAACCATGTTTCGTCTTACTCTGCTTACCAATATTCTTTTTCTTTCACTTTCAGGCAGATAACGGACTTCTGGGTACTTCCTCACAGTCCTGATGAAAAGAGTTGAATACATAAAATGAATAAACAAATCCATGAAATATGCTGTCAGATGTTCCGTAGCATAATTAAATCATTAACCCTAACTCCCTAGGGGGTGCGCAAAATCATATTGAAATTGGAGCATTCAGGACTGTTAGGGTTAAGTGAGGTGTGTGTGTCTGGGGGGGGGGGGGGGAATGCCGCTTTGCTGACAATGTTTAATGTTTAAATTTAATCCAGTATAATTTTTTAACAGGACACAACCCCAATAAAAAGGAAAAAGAACGGGAAAGAGTAATGTCAGAACTCTATTTTCCAAAAATTAAAACCTAAAGAGTTTACCTACACCGAACAGCTGTTTCAAGTTTATTATGCTAATGACTTTGATACCAAAAGCATCTGGCATGGCTTTTGAAATAACTGCATTATTTATTCAGAGGTTAATATAAATCGCACCCCAACATGCTACGCAGGCAGGTGCTTTGTACTTTCTACATTTATTTTTGTCTGTTCAAAAAGTTGTCATTAAAAAGGCTGGCTGAAATACAAGTAAAGGCTTTGTTTTTCCAGCATTTTCCCTCTTTGCAAGGAACATAGTGTTGACCAGTCACTCATCAATAAACATTAGATGTACCATTTCAACATTTCCAATACTTCTAGGAGGTGTTCAATATCGTATTGAATTTGGAGGGTTCAGGACTGTTAGGGTTGGGATTTAAAAAATGAAAATATTTTGATGTTACTTACTGCTTTTCTATTTTAAGTATTCTCTCCTGGAGAGGTTGTATTAGCTGAGAGAGAGAGAGAGAGAGACAAATTGAATATTTCATTTAGACATGGCACAAACACTCCATGTAGCAAATCAGAATCACAAATGATTCAGAATCACATTAAAAAACATCAGAATCAGCATTTAGTACAGCTTTACATAGCCTTGGTCAAGACATTCATCATGTACGGTATTCGGCCGCATTATCCTCGCCGCGCGCTGACTGCGGATTGCTATGTTGCAGCAGTACATGTAAAAATACAGTGCCACCAGCGGTCGACCTCATGCGGCTGCTCTTTATATGCGAATCATTTGGATCTAGACCAACGCCTTGGTGCTCATTATGCTAATAGCCTAAGCTGACTTCCAAAAAAGTTGTTTTGTTATTGGTCGATCATTGCGTGAAAATTGCATTATAGTTAGCGTGCCATGAAAGGTCATATAGTGACAACATGCATCCCCCCAGAAAAGCAAAAAACAAAAAAACAAAAAAAAAAGAAAAAGAAAAGAAAAAAAAGCAAAAAAAAAAAGAGGCGCAAAGTAATATTGGTGTAAATTTAATGGGGTGGGCGGGGGCAAAATGTCCCTGCCCTCCTCTAAAACTGATACATCCAGAATATGTTGAGAAATACAGCAATTTTTTTTGCATATAAAGGGTGGCCACATGGGGTCGCCGTTTGCGCTGTATTTTTACATGCACTGCACAGCGAGGATATGCCGCCGTTATCGTACAGACTGATAATAACAAACGCCTTGACCAAGGCTAAGCTTTACATGGTTTAGGGGTGTGCATTTAATGGTAGTAGGGGAATCGGGTTCCTTATTGAAACAAAAAAACATGGGTACCCTGGTATCCGTTAACCCTAACTCCCTAGGCCTTTTTGCTAGGATGTAGCCTCAGTCCTGCAAAATCCTCCAATTGGCCTCATGGAAAAATAGCATGTAGCCTCAATCCTGCAAATTCCTCCGTTATTTCTTGAATATGGTCCATGGAGGGGTGACCACTGCCTGAATCCTGCAAAATCCTCCGGCTATGACTGTCAATAGGCTGAGGCTGAGGCAGTGACATCCTTGAGCAGGATGTCAAGTATAATCAAGGACTAAATTTATGCACGGCTGAGCATAAACAACACAAGGTCCGGCCTAAGACCTTGACACAGTGCGTACTCCGAAATCAGCAACGCACTTTTGCCATGTAACCTCAATCCTGCAAATTCCTCCAATTTGCAAAAAGGATTTTGGAGGATTCAGGGCGGTTAGGGTTAAAGAAACAATTTGCTTTTCACTGTAGCCGGGTTTTTGTTTAAAAACTCCCCATCAATGACATTCAAACCTTTCTTTTTTATTGTTTGAGAAATTGAGGGGCGCATTCTTTCGGCAAAATGAACACAATTCACACACACCCCTTTGTGATTTGCTTTCGGTTTGCTGAAAGAACCTTGCCTTTTTGTGATCCGTGGACAGAACTTTAAATCAGTGGGTGTGTTTAAAATTCCGTAACTTGCCAAGTACATGATTGATTTGAAAGATTCTTGTACTAAAAGAAAGCTTATGAATTGGGCTTTCATATCCTAGATTTTGAAAATGCTACATGCAGAACTTCACTAAAACAATGCCAGTCCCGACATTTGGGTTTCGTGTTTTTGACTGGCCCTGTACAGAGAAGTAAATGAACTGTTATTGATTAACGGTTCAATTGTTTCTCTCTCCCAGCACTATTTTTTTTTAAACAATCAATGCAAAATGTACATGTATGTATGTAGAATACATGAGGCTGGACCTATACACCTAACATATTTGCCTTGCCACTCCATCCTTTTATATGTCAACAACAGAGCATTAATACCATGAATACCAAGTTTCTAGCATAATCACCTTGGTTTCCTTACATATATTGCCTACACAATACACACCTTTTTTGTGTTTATACAAGTTTAAGCATCAGGGCAAATGATTTACATGTAAAAGAAAGTTTTATTTTTGAGGAAAACAAATTTCTATTGTACTGCATATACACTGGAAAAAACCCATGAAAACACGAAACCACAAACCTACAAGATGCTGCATGGTCTGCCAAAACTGATGGCAAAGTACATGTATGTATTGAGTGCTTGTACATGTACACGTATGCCCATAATAAATTACGAAGAATTTTAAAAATGTTCTTTTACTTTGTCGTTTGCTTTTCAAACAAAGTCCGAGTAATGTGTTAAATTGCATGAAAGAGCCATGTACATACACTACTGCCCTGGAACATAGGAAACAAAATTGAAGGACATTACCTTTTGCAATTGTGCTTGCACACCTTCCCCAAGATCTTTTGCCCATCTGAAAATAATGAAAAAAGATGATGACCACATCGGTATAATTTACAGGTGAAATTTACTTTATCAAATTGAACGTTGTATAAACTATAATATATAGTGTTCATGGCAATTCTTTACACATATTTGTTCCTGCAATTCCATTAAGAAAATTTACCACCATCGTCAAGCAGTTAACAGTTTTATTCTGAAAGAAGACCTGGCTGTTGTTAGAAGGGGCAAAATTATCACGTTTTCCGAATTACAGGGAAATATGCAATTTCACATGATACAGTTGAAGTTAGCACTAAGCACTGAACAGTGGAGGGGCATAATACTGCGACAAATTTGTACCTTGATTCTTCTTCACCATGAGTCCCGCATAGTAAACCTAAAAATAAATATAAAACAAGGCTTTTTAGCAATATTCTGATAGTTCATGCGATTTATTACATCACAAAGACAATTCACAGACTGAAAGAGCTTCGTTTCTTGTCCCATCAGTCACAAAATATTACGTATGGACTTTCAACAAGCCACAGGAGAGTACAGGACCAGACACAACATCTACAATGAAAAAAAAAAACTACCATCACCTGATCACTGACAGTCAAGTATACATGTATTTCAGCCCATTATTAAATCCCACAGGGTAAAACACCACTTCAAACATTGCTGCTCAATTCAAGTCAAGGTGAGAATGTTGTGAATCAGTCCAGTCCAGTGAGACTGAGGGTGATACTGCCAGTACCAGTAGTTGGCAGCTCAATTTAATAAGAATACACATGTACCAAAATAAGCACATTGTCTCCTACTAGTCGAGTCCTAGGTAGGATAACCATCCTAGGTAGAATAAATCAACCAGAAGTTGTATTTTGTCGGAATTACCAAACCAACGTATTCTAAAAGAAAGCTAACAAATACAAAGCAAATATGACCCAATCAAAGGAAGTCTCTGTGAAAATAGGTAAAAAAAAAAAACTAGTGCCGGCCAATATCCACTGCTTTTAAGTTTTATAGGCCTACTCTCATAAATATGGTGACCGTTTTCGCTGATTTTCGGCTAACTTTTTTTTGTTCAAAAATGAGTTTGACAGAAAATTTGACAGAATGGATTTTTCTGCCAGATTTCTTGCAGAATTCCTCAAAAATGGTTATTTAACAGAGAAACATAGCAAAGTGTTTATAGTGTATTTCGAGTAATTCATGGGAATTTGGCAGATTTTTGATAAATCTGACAGATTTTTGAATTGCATTTAGCAGAATTTGGGTATGACCTCACGGTCACCCTGCTCATAAATTTATATTCATTTTCAGTTGTCTTAAACTTATTGCCTTTTTTAGAATTGGGACATCTTCTCATCTGGTGCCAGATCAAGTCCCATTAGGCCTAATTATTCAAGGCCTAAGCAAGTTACTCAGACCATGGAGGTAGAATTCATGCTCAGACCATGTGACCACTCAAATGGAACTCATCTCATAATGCTCATGGGGCTTTAACACCACACCAATACTGACCGAAAAGAAGGGCAAAAACAACCCCAATGACCAGGGCCAAGCGAAACCGCTTCACACACATCGCCACGTTACTCCAGGTGAAACTCATACGGCCGCCTCTAAGGAACAATCTCCGGCGAGTGGCGGCGGCGTGGCCCTGCTCGAAATCTCGCCTTGACTCCGTGGCTACGGATCGATTAGGGAGTTCCCTTTACAGACGCCCAGAACACGCAGTGGATTACAAAACTGAAGCAGCAGGGCCGGCCAAGTCAAACAAGAAATTGTATACAAGCTGTAAATATAATCCTCGAGTCAACACAACCACTTCATGAACGCCAAGAGCCATGACATAACACAGTAAATTTGACCAAAAATGCACACTCATTCGTTGTTCACTGCAATGCACGTACGATGATAAAGCTTACGTGCAAAGTCGCCCCAACAATTCGCCCCATTGGCCATAACGTTATACATTTCATAGCATGACACACACTACATAACATTGATCATTTTAAATTGCCAAGGAAAAACATCAACAGCAACATCAACATATTGGAAAGAAATCCACTTCGGGATGAACTTACTGTTTTCTGAAGCCATGTCTTTTGGTCCGTTGGTTTGCTAAACCTGTATGCGAATGATCCTCGGGGCCGGGTACGGTACGAGTACGATACGTAGCCTAGCTACGTGTACGTATTGTTCCTCAACTGACCGGCCGCGCCCGCGCAGCCGGCCGCGGCACAGCCTAGCCCACGTGAACGTTGATTACGTGGCAGAAAAAAAACGGCGGTACCCTCAGTTTGCAAAATAGCGACTGATGTAGTTCATTCACACAACACAAAGCCTACTACGCCGCATGAAAGTTGTTGGCAAATCCACCCTGCTAAATATCATGCCCACAGTTTTCTTCTAGGCCTAATTCTTTTTATTTAACTTAGCCGTTTGCTTATCTACAAAAGAAACACACTCCAGTGTATTTTTTTTTTACTTATTAAAAAACAAAACGATTGTCATGATCACTATTAAACGAATGGATTGTCGGTCGTAACAACAAACATAATTACTTATTAGTTAATGACACGTGAGCAATTTAGGCGATGTCTGTTATTTCTTCCGGAAGCGCAGGAGTGGCAGACTAAATGGGAGGGGGAGGGGGAGGTATCCCCCACAGTTTGACCGGGGGTGGGATTTTAAGGTATATTTCGAACTTCCCAAACCTCACGAAAAAAAGGGAGAAAACTTAATTTAAAAAAAGCTTTAAAAATGCGCTGTTTTGATGTAAGGTTAAGTGGCGTATTTGTATACATATGTGGCGTATTTGTATAAGATATGTATCATGATCAGCGCCCCTATGTGTCATGTGGTGTCCAGCAAGTCTCCCCCCCCCCCCCCCCCCCCCCCCCCCAAATTTCCACGGCCGGGCAATTTTTTTTAGTCATCCCCCATCCCGGATTAGTCTATGTAATAGACCTGTTAGACAGGAGATGGCTCCGTGGATAACGGGTGATACTCAGACTATCCCGTATGAGGGATGACTAAAAAAAAATCCCCCCAGTCGCCGGCACAGATTTACGCCACTGCCCATGCCTATTATGCCTAAAAGATAACACTTGAATGTATTTGATGAATTCATCATCACATAAACTACACAGACACTCAGTTGGTGCAATTTCAAATACCAACTTACAGGCGAATGAAAAAAAACAAGGAAAAACCACTTGCTCTTATAACCTTTGTAACTAGACGAAGTGGGGGAATATATATGAATGTGTAAATTTATAAAGTTGAATTCAGATTTTTTGTGTGAGGAAGAAGAACAAAATAGACTCTATCTTCAGGCCGCTATAAGGATGCAAAGTTTGGGATTTGAGTTATTTTTAGAGGAACCCGACCGTTTTCCACACCAGTCACACGTTGACCACGGAAGTTGAGAAAAAGTGGAATAATATAAAATATAAACATGTATTTTAAATGGCCTAAAGCACGAGTTAGACAAAGGACGAGTTGGACAAAGGACGAGTTGGACAAAGGACAAATTGGAAAATAGACAAGATGGGCAACGGACGACTTGACTTTTCCAGTTAACGCACAACAGTCAAGTTGATACAACGGTTGAACTTGTAGTTTCTATCCAACTCGGACCCCATACCAACTCGGACCCATGCCACCTCGGACCCACACCAACTCGAACCCATGCCAACTCGGACCCAACTACGACCAACTCGGACCCAACTGCCAACTCGGACCCATCGTGAGGACGTTTTCAAACAATCTCTTCCAAAAAATCACATTCAATTACTGGCTTCATATATTTTCATTGAAAAAAATATTAATAACAACATCGTTTGTTGAGAACAATTTAATTCATGATTAATCCAGACTTTAAACATAACCAAAAACACTTGATTTTTATTTCAAAAACATGGCACATTTAAAATGTGCTGTATGTGTTCTAATGTGTTTTCGTTATGTTTAAAGTTTGGATTAATCATGAGTTTAATTGTTCTCAGGGAACGATATTTTTTTCAATTTTAAAAGAAATATAGAATCGGAAATATGAACAACCATAGAAATTCATTAAAAATAAAGCATCCCCCCCCCCGCTCTGACACCCCCCAAAAATAATGGTGATAATGTGCGCCTTTTCACAAAATTCGGACAGAGCCAGTTTGCCGGGTTAGGGGTTATTTGTACACTAGTGTTTATGAGATTTAATTTCATGAGAAATCGTCAAACAATGAAAAAGAGCATACCCGAAACAAATACAGTATTTTAATCGTGAAAAATACAAACCAAATGAAAAATGAAAAGTCAACGTCCATGGAAAAATAATAATAATACACTCGTTGTTTGAGCAATAACCCGAGCTCACCAGGTCAAGCTATATTAAGTTGTAAGTTCAGCAAGTGATCGGTCTTGATGTCTTACATGAGGACATTAAATTTCGTGAGAAACCGTCAAACAATTAAAAAAATTCTTTCGAGAAAGGGCGCGCTGAATAAAACTAGTTGTCTCGCGACGCCAAGACATATATACATCCGCACGCCGTAGAATATGTTAAGTTTCGTTCAATAGAGGGCGCGCCACATAAATAGTGGTCTCAACAACGCATCAACACGGATGCTGCAAAATTGAACAAAAAAGAAGAAACTCGTTTCCGATGAATTACTCAAGAAATACGAAATGGATTCAATTGAAATTTCGTGCAATTAGTTTTCACGATGTGTAAGAGAAGTAGTTTGAATGGAGTGAGAAACCGTGAGGCTATAAATATAATATGATCGTAACAATCTAGTGTTTGAAACGCTAGAAATCCACGTTGACTTCCATTAGGATTGTATTGGTCGCAATTAAAACCATGTATTGTTACGGTCATAATAGCTTGATTGTTTGACCTTTTCTTATGAAATTAAATCTGTTCATGTCAAACATCATGACAAATGAGTGCACGAAAATTCATTTTAATGTAACGTGTATTTCTTGAGTTGTTGCCCCCAAAACGAGTTTGTTCTGTATTTCAAAATTGAATATTCAGTGATTTGTCATGATGACTGGGTTACATTATGAGATTTAATTTCATGAGAAACCACCAAACAATGAAAAAGAGCATACCCGAAACAAATACAGTATTTTAAACGTGAAAAATACAAACCAAATGAAAAATGAAAATCAACGTCCATGGAAAAATAATAATAATAATACACTCGTTGTTTGAGCAATAACCCGAGCTCACCAGGTTAAGCTATATTAAGTTGTAAGTTCAGCAAGTGACCGGCTTGATGTCTTACATGAGGAGATTAAATTTCGTGAGAAACCGACAAACAACTGAAAAAAATTCTTTAGAGAAAGGGCGCGCTGAATAAAACTAGTGGTCTCGCACCGCCAAGACATATACACCCGCACGCCGTAGAATATCTTAAGTTTCGTTCAATAGAGGGCGCGCCACATAAATAGTGGTCTCAACAACGCATCAACACGGATGCTGCAAAATTGAACAAAAAGAAGAAACTCGTTTCCGATGAATTACTCAAGAAATACGAAATGGATTCAATTGAAATTTCGTGCAATTAGTTTTCACGATGTGTAGGAGAAGTAGTTTGAATGGAGTGAGAAACCGTGGAGCTATAAATATAATACGATCGTAACAATCTAGTGTTTGAAACGCTAGAAATCCACGTTGACTTCCATTAGGATTGTATTGGTCGCAATTAAAACCATGTATTGTTACGGTCATAATAGCTTGATTGTTTGACCTTTTCTTATGAAATTAAATCTGTTCATGTCAAACATCATGACAAATGAGTGCACGAAAATTCATTTTAATGTAACGTGTATTTCGTGAGTTGTTGCCCCCAAAACGAGTTTGTTCTGTATTTCAAAATTGAATATTCAGTGATTTGTCATGATGACTGGGTTACATTATGAGATTTAATTTCATGAGAAACCACCAAACAATGAAAAAGAGCATACCCGAAACAAATACAGTATTTTAAACGTGAAAAATACAAACCAAATGAAAAATGAAAATCAACGTCCATGGAAAAATAATAATAACTAGAGGTTGTAGAAACAACAACACGGTGTTGGGCCATGGATTACCGCAAACTTTGCATGACGAAACCAGCCCTCTTAAGAAAGTGGCTAGTTTCACACTGTTGAAAGCCCCTGGGGAACAAGTAAACCAAACTCCCCTCCCTGCTCCACAGTCCCAGCGAGATAATGACTTGTGGTTAAATGAAATACCACCTGTTAGCCACACTGCTTTCTGGAACTATACTTTCTGGCGAATTGCGGTTTTATGCAAGCATAACAGTAAAAGATCGTTCTCAGCCATTTATTCACGGATTTTCAAATTTCAACATATAACAGGGGTGTGAAACCTCAGCTTTTAAGCTGATTTCAGCTTGATTTGATTTGGATTTCAGCTTTTTTCCCTCACTTGCTGTGTACAAAAGTATAGGAGATTTCCAAAGTTCAGCTTTTTTACACCTTTTTCAGCTGTTTTCAGCTATTTTTATCAGTGGTCACTCACACCCCTGATATAAAAGAAGTTAACATTTCAGGTACGTCATTATGATAATACTTTTGTTGGCCGACAGATTAAATTTAGCAACCAAATATTATGCTTGAAATCTCCCAGGCAGAGTGACCTTCGCTCCTTTTAGGAACCAATTATAGAACGAGTGATAATGCATTTTTGACGTTTTTTAACCTGCCGCTAGAGGGCGCTCTGACATTTTATGACGTCACCTGTAATATATTGCTATAGTACAGCCTAGACAGACACTCACATCATTGAAAGCAAGTTCGCATCTTCTGCCAATTTCAAATAATAAGGCACTTCCGGTTTCGACCGGAAGGAAGGGTCACGTGATTTTGCACTTAATACCAAAACTGAAGATCCTGCAATATTGTATCGATTGCCAT